ATTTTTTTAAAGTACTGTTACTGTCAGGAAAATATTTTATACGGTTTCTCACTGGCGAAGGTGGTGTAATGCCAAGTGTCGACTCTCGCACCTGCCGGACTAAGAATCGAATCCCTGATCGATACTCGCCCATTCCATCCATTCCCATCGCTCGGGATTGGTTAGTCGCTACCAGAGTCGTTTAGGAGTGTAAAACCACTGGCTTGTATTATACATCGACTAACACCCGCAAGTCATTTTACAGGGCTATACTTGCATTCAAAACGCATCATTATAAATGGAAGCTGAATGCGGGGCGGATCCCAAAGACAAAGTTGTTCATGGCTAAAGCCTATCATCTTGTCATTGCTGCTTCTGTAGAAGTTTTGTGATTTCGAAGAGGGAGGCTAGCAGAGGTAGTTTTCAAGTTTATCCCGGTCGTCGGTCTTCTGACCTTTCTGATGATTTAGTAGCGACAAAGACAGATGGTAATTCGTTGGTGTCCTATATCTGTTGAACACGATGGCTTTGGCCAGGATATGCCAAATCTGTCTGTTTGCATATATTCAGTAACCTATTGCCCATTCGATATGAAATATAAGGAAATTTCCTGATGCGATCCCGCTTGAGGGATGCGCCCCGCATTCGACTCTCATTCAGAATCGTAATGGCGTATTAAACGCGTATGTGGTTTATACAATGACTTGCGGGGGCCACCCGATGTATAAGTCAGTACTTTTATCCCCTAGGAGTGTATGGTACAAATAAACCGACCCCGAAGGGATGAAAGGCTTGGTTGTTCCACTCGTATATCGATCTGGGATTCGAACCTTAGAACATGCGTGTGTGATAATGCGCCATTTTCCACTACACCGCCTCTAGTACGTCTCCAGAAATGATCTGCGATTTTTTAGGAGGAAAGGATGCAGTTTTTGATGCATGACCTCAATATTGAGAGTATTGACTGGCCAGCTAGACATTTGATACGATCAGCAAACAGAAGTGTGGTAAATCTTTGTGCGGACATGATGCTTATGAGTATGGCAATAGTGAGTTTTAACTTTGAGATTTTACTTTGTTTTTATGGTTTCATTTCAAAAGGAGGGTCCCGAGTGGAAAAAGTCAAAAAAGTGAAATATGAATTGTACTGCTAAACGTGTTTTGGATTGACCTCATAATGCTTTCCGGATTCGCCAAACAATGCTCAGGGAAACTATTGGTAAGTTAGAATGCATCAAAAGGCCTCGTCCATTTGAAATCCTTAACTAACTACTTTATGTGTGCAGTTACTGAGTTCTGGCAGTAGTAAGCAGATCAGTTACGGTCGTCAACCGCAGTTATTGCAAATCTTCCTAGTAATCCAGAAAATCTTCTTTCCAGTTGAATGTTGGATGCGGAAAGGTTGAAACGATACGATTTGCCCGATATCGAAGATCACATGACTACGAACTATCCTATTGGTCACATCATCCATGGAAATTCCATGAGGAGATGTCTGTACATCGAGCATTGGCTATGCTCTTCCTTGGAGAGGGCCGGTAAGTGTATCACACAATAGGTGAAACTTGAATAGAGGGAAAGCCTTTGGTGTTCTTTGATAATAACTGAACTGTTCTGTTAAACTAGTAGATCTTAGGAAGTGGTGAAAATTTGTAAAATTTGGTGGAGGTGGGTAAGGCCAAGCATTATCGCCACTAATTTGTATGGTCCGTCGTCCGTTCAGTAGACTGATAGCCGCCCGATGAACCAAATTTAATTACTTCGGGAGGGTTGAATTGGTACCACACTATCGTAATGTTGAGAGTACTGCCACATGCGTTGGCTCAAACCACCTCCCACGAGTCATCGTATAGGCTAGACACACATTCAATCGAGACAACAATTTTGAATAAGTCGATGTGCGGCGCACAAAGGGAGAAGAACTTAGTTTTTGGAGCCGTTCAATTCCCAAAACGGGCAATTGAACGGCTCCAAAAACTAAGTTCTTCTCCCTTTATTTAATAATTTTTTCATATAATCGTATTCTTTAAGGTATGGCTTCAAGCGTGATAATTTGTCAATAGCACTCTTGGTGATCTCGATGTATCCGATCATTGCCCACAACGTTGCTGATAATAGGTGATAGTTCAGACTTTTTATTAAATATTTATATATTTTGCTCTAGAGTTACGATAGGTCCGATTCCGTGAGTGCGGATTCATCCAGAATTTTCTGTAAGTGCGTCCGTTTGAAGACCTTTCGGCCGGTTATACGAAATGGTCTCTGAAATCTTGGCACGCAGCTCAGCGTGACTACCATTTTCCAGTGCACCCACTGAAAGTTTTGAGGAATTAGGGCTTCCGTTTCCGAGAGCATCCAATGAAATTTTTGAGAAATCTGGGAATCTGGGCCGGTAGTTCATCAACGATGTTCAGGCTATACCACCAACCTCTACGGTTTCTATGGACTTATTCCGTTGAACCGCGTCTTCTTGTCCCAATGTGTCGGAAGAAAAACAAACCTATTCAGTGCGATGTAAGGATAGATTTCAAGGTAAATGAGTCAGATAGGGATTGATTTGGTGGTGTTCAGAGTAAGGTTTCAGATGGATGAGTATTTTTAGGATCCCTCCTGTTCACTATGCTTCTGCACCGCACCGATGATATTGCCACCGATCGAAGAGCTGGCTTCGGTAGCGATAGTCGGGCCAGGTGTTGAAGAAGTGCACTTCGATCTCTCGAATGAAGATCGGAAACGTGATTTGATGGAAATCCTTACTAAGGACCATGGACGTGTGCCGGTTACGGTAACAGAAAGGTATGATGAGAAATGTATTGTTCATGGGAGGTGGAGACAAAGTAATTCAGATGTGGTTTAAACCTCATGTACTCATTCACGATCAGATTCGCTCCACTCCCTGGTTTCCTTTATAGTATGGCAGTTTTCAAAGCGGCCTAACGTCCTCTCCACTACAACCCACGCCCCGCCCTTTTTATTCGGACATTTGCCCATTTTTGTAGAGAATTCGCTCTTTCCGTCCAATCTGAGGGTGGGCATCTTCCTGTTTTGACTTTACGGCTGATTTCCCACGTCCAGCAGCCCTTCATGAAATACGAATAACTGTTTTATCAACTCTTTTTGCGACCACAGATGTCTTAGGTATTAAACTTGGTTTCTTTCAGTTGCTTGGATGATAACGAAATGGCTCAACAAGAAGATTGGACCCTCCGACAGATATTCGACCATCGAGTAGAGCGGCCATGCTGTAAAGTGACGAAGTTGGCAAAGGAATTGGAAAGGATGAAAATGGTAAGAAATATTAAGTTAGAGAAGTGGAGCTGTAGTCTCAGAATGTGGTCATGCTGGGCTTCCCACAAACTCTTCCCAGGCAGAGCATGGTCACTTCGGAGCATCCTTATTGGTTGGATCGTATCGTAGCTCAGTTACTACCAATCCTAAGCTTCAAGAACCATTTGCTTTACCTCCAGCGTATCTTTACTTCGGCATTGAACAAGATTTCATTAGCTTTGTTAACTTGCTAAAGGTTGCATAACGCCAAGTCTGTTCTGAGTTTTATGGTCCCGACTATATTAACATTATTCAGACAAATCATCCGGGTGGCCCTGATGATCTTCGATGGCCTCCAATTGACAGTGCCCCAGCTATTCGTCAATATCTCAAGACGCTTCACATGGTAAGTTAAATGATTTCGTTATTTCATTCAAAGTAAATATTCTTGCAAAGAAGAAAGTGACTGAAGGACAAGTAGGCAAAGCTCCGCCCATAGTGGGGACCAGCCCGCCCACTTGTACGAGTTGACAGGTTTTTTCTTTGCTGAGTTCTTCGCAATGATTTTTGTTATGCACGGTTTGACAACGTGATGAGTTTCATGTCATTCTGGAAGCTACTGCTCCTGCTTAATAGATGAAGACTATTATGATTATGTGGTTAACAAGGTGAACCTGAGTGTATGTTATCAAGATAATTGGCTCAATCCCTACCGAGGCAGGAACATTTTTAGAATGGCTTGTATAGCACCAATTGGAAAAAGGTGATTGCCAGAATGGGTACTGGGGATCCCAAAGATAGGTGTTTAAATTGATAGGTGATTTTTCAATATGCTCTGGTATCTATGGTACGACTCACCTGACTTTTTTTGACTATTTTTTTCAGGAAATCAGCAGCTCCCCGCCATCGCTCCGCTCTTTTGTAGCTGAGGATGTG